ATAGTGAGGCCATATATAAAACTTATTTCTTTTTACTATCAGATGATTAAATTGCTTTTTTTATTATCAACTTTTGTTAATTACTAATTTTCTTTAACACCTCAATTTGATATTCTAATTCTCTAATTCATCTTTTTAACCATTAAATTTCTCCTACCAACCTATTATTATTATTATTATTATTATTATCTATTATTATCAATATTATTACTATTATTAATATTATTATTACCAGTTGGGCCATAATCGGTTAACCAACCCAAACTGAAATAAATTTCGGATAACCGATTAAGTAAATTCTTAATCAGTTGACCCGGTACAACCAGTTGAAGATCGTGTAACCAGTTGACAGGATCGATATGGTGTGTAAATGACCAAGAGAGAGCAACGATTCCGAAAAGAAACCGAATGAACATAAGATATGAGCAAAGTTAAGATGAAAATTTGAGTGAAGCTCCGAAAATTTCCGAGATCAAAACAAAAAGTAGATATTATTAATCTCAACTGGTTGTAATCGGCTGACATAAAATAATTCGGTTCGGTTAACCGATTGTGAATATTTTACTCGTTCAAATCACTAACTGTATATATACTATATACAGTATTATCTTTTATTTGTATCTCGAGCCAAGTCAAAGTCTTATAAAGGGCATGGTCACCGACCCTCTTGGAGTTTAGATACGACGACGAAAGTGGAATAACGATAACCATCTTGACAAAAGTTACTTGAAACCGAAAAATTTTCTTTTTGCTAAAAGCAAAGATTACCTAGAATCATGTATGGTTTTTAAAATAGGTCTCTGGGAATCATATATGCAAATAAGGAAATTTCAGTAAAAATAGTTACTCCGAGTAATAAAGTGGCCTATTATGTTAAAAACTGTTTAACGGTTAAAAGGAGCTTGCCTAAACATAGAAGTAAACCAATCAAATAACCAAAAGATTACTCTAATTTCTTTATTATTAAAAAAAAAAAAACCCTGTGAATTTTCCGTAACACATAAATGAATGCTAGACAATTCTTGTGTTCGAAATTAGATACTGAGTTCCTTTTGATAAAGCTTCTTTCAAAATGAGTGCGGACCCAAATGGTATCCAAGTTGATCCCGTCTCAGAGGAGAACAAAGTAAAAGCAGAAGAAGCGAAAGAAGCTGCAAATAAACTGTTTAATGGTGGGCTAATTTGTGTGGTTACTTTGAATAAATGTATATTTTGTTTTACATTAATAGGTACAGCTTAATCTGCCTGCCATTAGCAAAAAATTATGAGGCTGCAATAGCCAAATATACGGAAGCAATTAATTTGAATCCAAACGTTGCACAGTATTATGCCAATCGATCCTTTGCCCATATAAAAACTGAGGCATACGGTTTTGCTGTTGAAGATGCAGAACGTGCTGTCAAAGTCGATCCAACATATGTTAAGGTGAGAAATTATTCAGTTTATCAACTTGTAAAGAATTATTAACATTTATTAGTTTTAATTACTACAGGGTTATTATCGAAAGGCAGTGGCAAATATGGCATTATGCAGGTTTAAAGACGCACTTCAGGATTTTCGAATTGTGAGACTTTGTTTGAAACAACCCTAGAACCTTGAATACTCTTACAATTATGATTATTCATGGTAATCCGAAGCCTGTCCATTTTGACAGGTTGCGAAAAAAAATCCGAGCGACACAGATGTAGGAAAAAAATTAGCGGAATGCAAGAAGATTGTGAAACAAATTGAATTTGAAAAAGCCATTGAGGTATGCATTTTATATTAATGTGAATATTGTCTAAATTAATCACTGCAGCTTTGCATTTGTTTTTTTTATCTCTTCTTTAAACAAAAAATACTAAAATACGAATTGATCATTTAGGTAGATTCACACCAGAAAAACATTGCTGAAACAATGGATGTAGATGCGATCGGTGAGTTTTAATAAAGAAAATTTAAACCAATTGCTATATTAACAAAGTTTGTTACTTTGAACCATATGAAAAGTTGTGGATCCTTCTTACAGTGGACCAAAACTCGCGGATGGACAGATCACAAAAGAATTTATTGCAGAAATGATGGAATGTTTCAAAATTCAAAAAAAGATTCATCGCAAATACGCATTCCAGGTATGTAAATAAATGCCCTTTGTTAATAAAGCATCTCATCCTTGCAATGTGAGAATTAATGAAAGGTTTGATACAGATAATTTTAGCCGTACGGAAGATGATGTTGCAAATGCCATCGTTGGTAGACGTCAACATACCTCAAAATTGCAGATTAACTGTGTGCGGAGATGTCCATGGTTGGTATTATATTGATTTATTGAATTTTTTTGGAACATTAGGGTAATTAAACATACCTCTCCATAGGTCAATTCTATGATTTTCTCAATATTTTCAAGATCAATGGCTTGCCATCCGAAGAGAACATGTATCTTTTCAATGGTGATTTTGTTGATCGTGGATCATTTAGCATTGAGGTTATACTGACTTTGTTCGCTTTTAAATGGCTTTACCCAACATCTGTCTACTTGACGAGAGGCAACCATGAAACGGATGATATGAACAAGGTTTATGGATTCGAAGGGGAGGTTAAAGCTAAATATTCTGAACAAATGTTTGAATTATTTTCTGAAACATTTACTACCCTTCCGCTTGCACATCTTATCAACAAAAAAATTTTGGTAGTTCATGGTGGATTATTCAGTAGAGATGATGTTACACTAGATGAGATTAGAAAGATTGATAGGATTGGCAAGAAACAACCTGATCATGGAAGTTTAATGTGTGAACTCTTGTGGTCTGGTAGGTAATTAAAATATGGGGTAATTTAATAGAAATCATGCAAATTTTTTTATAATTAAACCTAAACAAAAATAACATGAACTTAACCAAATTTGATAAAAACACTTTCTTATAAACATAAAATTAAAAATTTATTATCAAATTTGAATGTTTTTATTGAATTAAAAAGTTTAAAAAAAATTACTACAAAAAATTTGCTTGGTTTCCATTGACTCGCCCTCATATATTATTGCGAAAAGTTTTGGTATGTTAATAAGATTAATAAATTTCATGGCGTTCGTCTAATTCCAGATCCGCAACTACTCCCGGGACGTGGTCCAAGTAAACGAGGCGTAGGAATACAATTTGGACCTGATATCACTGAGAGTTTCCTTAAGCGTAATAATATTGGTGCGTTTTAAATTATACCTGCAAAATTTTGTTAGTAATATTTCTTAGCTGCTAAACTCTTATTGGTCGCAAACTTAGATTTACTAATAAGAAGTCATGAGGTCAAAGAAAATGGTTATGTGGTCGAACATAATGGCAAATGTATTACTGTATTCTCCGCACCAAATTACTGGTAATGAGACTTATTTTATATAAATTTTTTATTCCAAAATTAATCTTTTATCCATATTAGTGATACCATTGGAAACAAAGGTGCGCTAATTAACATTACGCCAGACCTACAATTAAGCTATCAGACATTTGAAGCTGTGGTAAGGTTTTTTTTTTGGTTTTCTCATTAATTGCTCTGAATCATGTGATTAAATGGCTTTGTTTAAACAGCCCCATCCTAATGTTCGACCTATGGCTTATGCATCTCAATTTGGTGGTTTATTTACATAACATTACCCATAAGCATTACTTGACTAATGTATTTTGGAAAGATGGCTACCGTAAAACGCCGTATAAGGTACCCCCCTTGATTTGTACCCCCCTTGATTTGTACCGGGTATGTTTCAAGGTACCCGGGGGGTACAAATCAAATTTTTATCATGTGAATTGTAAGATACCCGGGTACCTTATACGGTAATTTTTTTTGGCCGCACATGAATTTTATTTCGTATATTAAAATCTTAAAAAGTTATTTCATGCATATGTATAATGGAAAATTTAGTAATGGATAGTAGTGTAAACCTTTTTTTTAGTTTTAACTAGTGCAATTTGTGATTGCTAGAAATAATTGTACTAGAGGTTTAATGACTTGAAACTTTATTAAAGCCAATTAGAGATTTTTTAGCAATTCATTATAATGCAAGATACTACTCATCTGCCATCGTGGATAAAGTGTAAGATCCGGCGTTGAAGCACGATAGCTATAAAACTACTTTATCGTTCAAACAATAAACAGAATACAACTCGACGCATAACCAATTT